TTGTACATCCGTTTAAGGAGAATCAGGAGAAGGGGATGCAGTGGACGCATTAATCACGCGTCCACTTATCCCTTTTTTTTCTTTCTTTCCTTTTTTTTTTCTTTTGTTTGGCACCGTCCTCTTTGACTGCCACAAAAACGTGTTTTATTTTTTTTTATTCATTCAAACGTGTATAGATCCCACACGTTTGAATCTCTTTTTTCTTTATTTTCTTTTCAAATATACATGGGTCCCACATGTTGGAGGGACCCACAACAATTATCCCATTAGAATAGCTTCAGCCGAATCTCGAGCCCCATTAGTACTACTTTATTGGCATTTTGCCAGATTTCGTTACATAGCTTGGATTCCTCTATGCTATTGCTATTTTCTTTCATTTTACTTTCCGGGAAAATATTTTTTACTTTCATCTGGTGGCGAATTCTTTTTTCCTTGTAAGCTACTTTGATCAAAATTTATCAAATATAGTTTCGTAAACGACGTGGTTCTGTGCTTCGATGCTGATGTCTGTTCTAATTGTTGTTTTTGTTTAGAGAGGAGTTACAGTCACTGACAAAGCAAAGATGAAGACAATGTGGGGCCTTACGAGGCAAAGAATGGGTTGTGAAGGCTCCTCTGTTTCGGTAATTTAAATTATGTTTTGGTTTAATGAGATCTTTAAAATAGTTAATTAGCAACTAAGGATGTGGTTTTTATATTATGATTATTTGTTTGTATGTGTAATAATGGAGCAGCTCTTGCAAAGGATTCGTCTTGCACAATCTGCATTGCGAAACTACTCCTATGCAGCTAAGGAGGTAAACTTTTTACGATACAACATCACGAGTTGCAGCTTTTTATTTTTTTTTTAAATTTAAATTCATTTGTGTGTTTCTGCTTTTATTTCTAGCTAAAAAAGACCAGTGCTATTTTATTTTTAAGGAGAAGAACTAGAATACTAATTAGCAATGGCTTATATTGGTATTTGGCTGCATAAGTGAATGATTGAAACTTCATTTCATCTTTGTTTAGAAAAGAGCAAGATCACCGCTTTCATCGTATGCTGACCTGAGCTTTTAATATATTGCAGCACCAGTTTCATCTCACATCTTATTTGCAATATACTAATATATCCATATTGCGTTGGAACCTCTTTTAGATGACAGTAAGAGATGCTTTGAATTCTGCACTTGATGAAGAAATGTCTGCCGATCCTAAAGTTGTTTTGATGGGAGAAGAGGTAATACTGGATCAAGTTTTGTTTGCTTATTTATCTTTTTTTTTTTTTTTTTTTTTTTTCCGTATACTTTGCTTACATTTCCTGTTGTATCTCAGGTTGTGAATATCAGGGTGCATACAAGGTTGATCTTTTTTTTTTTTTTTTTTTTTCCGTATACTTTGCTTACATTTTCTGTTGTATCTCAGGTTGGTGAATATCAGGGTGCATACAAGGTTAGATCTCAAAAATTGCTGTGCAATAATTTAACAATCTTTATTCAAAATTATTAACTGGTGCATTTTGGAACGGATTTATTGTCCTTTATTATGTTTGCAGAAAACACTCATATTTATAAGAGCTCTCATGTTTTTGTTTTGCTTCATCAGATTACCAAAGGGCTTTTGGAGAAGTATGGTCCTGAGAGAGTGCTCGACACCCCAATCACTGAGGTTTTTTGTTTATCCTTTAAATGTGATGTTCCAGTATTTGGTTAAACTTTATGTCATCCCTTTTCCTGATTCTTCTCATGCTAATTTATATATTGAAGATTTCTTCTTAGTGAAAAAATTTTTGGCTCATACAACTCTTTATTGAGATGTAGGCTGGCTTTACAGGGATTGCAGTTGGTGCTGCTTACCATGGTCTTAAGCCTGTCGTTGAATTTATGACATTTAACTTCTCCATGCAGGTCAGAATTCTTTAGTTGGAACATGATACATGAACCCATACATACTTCTGTACCTTAGTTTACTGTTTTTCTTTTTATTATAATTAGTTAGGCATGATTTAGTTTTAATCGGTGCCATTTCCCACTTATTATTTTATTTATTGGACTTGTTCTAACAAATTCCCGGAGACTTGTTGTCTTATTCATTTTGCAGGCCATTGATCATATTATCAATTCTGCTTCACGAGCACATTATATGTCTGGTGGTCAAATTTCTGTACCTATTGTTTTCCGCGGACCAAATGGTGCTGCTGCTGGAGTTGGTGCTCAGCATTCACAGGTACATTTTGTAAACTATAGTCTAGATGGATTTTTCTTTTTTTTTTTTTCTAGTGGTTATCATTTATGCATGATCTGTTATTTTATCTTTGTGATGTTTGATCAGGTGTTCTATAAATTGTTGAAGAGATTCATCTTTAATAGATACATATTTTGAAGGAAAGATATTGCTTATTTACTATTGCTTTTTTTTGGTTTAACGGTTTTTTTTTTCTTTTCTGGTTCTTTATCTTTTGCTTTTGTAGTATTGACCCTACAAGTTCCAGAGCTAATAACCTACTAGCTACTTGTTTTGCTTTTCATTCCCATTTAGACATTTTTCCCTTACCATAGGTAACCAAATCTTGATTAAAATCTGGCGTTTTATCTTAATTACTTTAACCAAACATAACCTTCATAATTCATTTGGTTGGTGACTATTAAGAGAACAGAGAGTTATATAACTCTTTCTTTTTATATTCACTGACAAGAACTCAGGAGTAGAATTTTGTTGTTAAAAGGAGAAAGCAGTAGTGAAATGAAAGGATGGATTTGAACCTGAAAAATATAGACCTAAGCAAGCAAAATAAAGTAAAAAGGCCAATACAACACGCAGCAAACCCTAACTATATTGGCGATGTAGGGGGAAAAATAAGTTATTAAAGAATTCCAACTTTTTTTCTATAAAATTGTAATTTTGAGCCACTTGAGTTTTAGCCTCTAAATTGACTGGGCCTTGGCCTTTTGTCCAAAACTATATTGATTGATCTTTATCTGCTTTTGAATAGAAAATGCTGTTTTTACAAGAAGCTGCTGCATGGCACCCAATTTTTGTATATGTGAAATGTAAATGTGATTTGGGTTTACCCATATGAAAACGTTTACGAACTTTTTGTTGAATTCTTGAAAATTCATTCATGTCAGCATTAGCTCACCATTGGTAAATTGTTGACGAAGACCACCGACAATAGCCCATAATTCTTCGCTTGGCTTCTTGGCCATATTTAGAATAGTTTGCTTTGCATGGATATGGCTCTTCATGGCTTAGCAAGATGAGAGGTGACATGGCGTAAAGCTTATTCTTCTCTTCACCTGCATTTTGTTTCCTTTTTATGAGTTGCTATTTGTTATTTGGTGAGTTATCTGAGTGAGAGCGAGTCAGTGAGTTGGTTAGTTTTGGGTGTATTTGGGTTTTTGATTAGAGAGATTAGTTTGAGTATTTCATTATCTCATCTCCAATTAGAAAAATTTTCTGTTATTGTCTTCACCATGGATGTAAGCTCAAAGCCAAACCCCATAAATTATTATGTCTTATTATTTTCTCCAGTTTATTTGTTGTCTATTATTTTGCCTAAACAAGACTTCGATTTTCTTTTTCCTTTTCGTACGGGAAATTTTTTTGAGAGAATACTTTTTTGGTCATAGCCTACTTGTGGGTGATCGCTTCAGGGACCTGAAAATTCAACTCCCAAATTAGATGGAATAGAAATATATTTTGAAGTTTTTTCTTCTTTTCATGAGTTTTTGGGACTGTTATGCAATGCTCTGGATTGTTCTTCCAGAATTCCAGTTGTAGAATTTGTCTGCAAGGGGGGAAGTTTGAATTTTTGAGAACAGTCATCTAATCTATGTGATACAGATTGTACCATCTATTTTTTAGGGAGTGTACTGCTATTTTAAGAAAGTTCTTTTTTTTAATTGGAAAAAGGTTGACATGGCATGGATCTGTGACTTTCTGTACACAAGCAACTGCTGGACAATCTAAGCTCTTTTTTCTTGTTAAGCAGTGTTATGCAACTTGGTTTGGTTCTTGCCCTGGTTTGAAGGTGCTAGCTCCATATTCATCAGAAGATGCTCGAGGTCTGCTAAAGGCTGCTATAAGGGACCCTGACCCAGTTATCTTCCTTGAAAATGAGTTATTGTGAGTAGTTAACTGAATTATGATACTGTGGACAATAATTTTTGCAATATGAATAGCCTGTTACGGTTGAGTCAATATCCTTGATGTCAATCTTGTGTCACAGATATGGTGAGAAATTTCCACTTTCACCAGAAGCTCTTGATTCCACTTTCTGCCTTCCAATCGGGAAAGCTAAGGTGCTCTTAAATATCCTTTGTGCTATTCTTGTTCTTCTAAATAACAAGTTCCTATTATCGGCTTTTGACAGATAGAACAAGAAGGAAAGGATGTAACTATTACGGCATTCTCAAAGATGGTTGGCCTTGCTCTTAAGGTTTGTAGCCCTAGTGAAATTGTAGTGAATGAATGTGCAGATGACTGTAATGACTATTTCTTCAAATTTATATTGCAACTTTTTCAGCCTAATCTTTTCAATCTAACTAAAAACTCACAATATTTAGGCAGCTGAGATGCTTGCTAAGGAAGGAATTAGCGCGGAGGTAACCAATACTAATTTTACTTTCCAGTTTCCATAACTAAATATGACTGCCTGATTTCAGAAAGTTAGATGGTCTTGGTCTCTTTTTAAAGAGAAACTGTTTCTATGATATTGTAAGCAGGTTATAAATTTGCGTTCTATTCGGCCCCTTGATAGAGCCACAATAAATGCTTCTGTCAGGAAAACTACCAGGCTCGTTACTGTTGAAGAAGGGTTTCCGCAACATGGTGTTGGTGCTGAGATATGGTTAAACCCGTCTTCTTTTCTTTACTGCCTTCTTTCTGCATCATCTTTTGCTTATAGTATTTACATGATCTCCTACGATTTTCAACACTTCTCACAGCACATCTGTTGTTGAAGAGAGCTTTGAGTATCTCGATGCACCTGTTGAGAGGATTGCAGGAGCTGATATTCCCATGCCTTATGCTGCAAATCTTGAGAGGATAGCTCTCCCACAGGTTCTTATTCCAAATATAACCCTTTAATTCGTTCTGTTTTATAGTATGCAATAATTGTTAACATGGAATCAATAAGCATTGATGCGGCCTTAGTAAACTGTCATGTCACTGATTTTCTGAGCCCGTCTCTCTCTCTTCCTCCCCCATTGCAGGTTGAGGATATAGTCCGAGCAGCAAAGAGGACTTGTCGATCAGTTTCAGTGTCTGCTTTTATTTGGCTTGAAGAGCTTGTTTAAGGATCTTGTATTTGATTTCATTTCAGTCTTCGTTCAGGGAACCATGCGGAATGTCTTCGGGCTTAGCTCACTCACTCTTATAGTCTTATTTAGGGAAATAAAGGGTTACAATACTTTTTTCCTTTGTCTCAGTTTATAGAGAACGGTTGTAAATTGACATAAAAAAACATTAAAGGCGTAGATTTCTTCCACAGATTAGATATGTTTCTTTGAGCCTCTTTAACTAAGTTTTAACCATACGAGCAGTCTATTGATGCAAGCACAAGTTTTCAAGGTACTAATAATCATGCGGAGCCTGAGCCTGTCAACTTTTGTGCAAGCACGTATTTCAAAGATAACCAGAATTTTATTACATCCAACCGACTGTTTTTTTTTTTTTTTTTTTTTTTTTTTTTTAACCATACGAGCAGTCTATTGATGCAAGCACAAGTGTTTTCAAGGTACTAATATCATGCGGAGCCTGAGCCTGTCCAAAACTTTTGTGCCAAGCACGTATTTCAAAGATAACCAGAATTTTATTAACAATCCAAACCGACGTTATTTTTTTTTTTTTTTTTTTTTTTTTTTTTTTAGAATTGACTTTTTTTTTTTTTTTTTTTTTTTTTTTTTTTTTAGAATTGACTTGTTTTTTTTTTAAATGTGCAAAAAGGTACAACTCGAACATACATTAGTCTCCCATCAGCACCAAATGAAATTATTGATAATATACATATACGAGCTCTCTAGCAATAGACCAATGAACATTAGAGCAATTTACCTAGTCAATAAAATCTACTTCAAAGAAAACCACTCCCATTTTAGATTGAGGAAGCACCCAATGTTTCCAAAAACTGTACAGCAAAAATGGAATTTGCACTGGCAAATTATACACAGCTACTGGGCTTCTGTCGTGAGGATTATACACCAAATACTCATATGACGATGTAAATAATAAATGGGAAACAATAATTAAAATGGAAAAGCAAAAAAGCTTTGAAGCCCTCAGGACGAAAATTGAGCAACTAATCCAAAAAAGACAACACAGCAACTCATTCTTTGTCTACCTGCGGCTGCCAAAAACCTCAGATTTACCCTTGAATAATAGATCCATTGATAGTCCTATTGAGGATGGATTAAACGGGCGGATAAACTTCCGGGATGGAGCCATATGGGGTTCTTCTTTATTGGTTTTCCTTCTTCTGGAAGGCCCCCCTGTGGCTCCAGAACTCTTAATGGATGCTGATGACTTTGAACTGAATACTGATGAATTAAAATAAGTATCTGGTGCATCAAATGATACAGGACCTTTATGTGATGTATCAATAGGATGTCCAACTGCTGCATCCTGATGGGGAGGTGGAAATTTCTCACTCTTACTCTTAGCATTTGCTTGTGTCATCACTCTCAATCTCTGGAAATTATAGGAAAAAAAAACAAATGTCCGAGTCAAAACTAACAATGAAAAACCTGGACATCCATGAACAACGAACAGGGACAGACCTAACAAGTTGATGTTTCTATTTAGCTGATTCAGTATTGATTATCCTAAGAAACTCGGGTGTTAGGTTGGGCACACATAAAGATATCACTGACCACATTTTGTAATGATGATGGAAGCATTGTAAGTTGACAAGGCCCATGAAGAGCATAGCAAATGAAATGTCAAAACACAGGCATTCTTGTAAATGGTTGTTGAAGAACCTAAATCTCAAGGTGCGAACTAATTCAACACACTGCTATTCACCTTTCTACTGGTCTAGGATGTAAAAGACAGAAATTTTTCCCACAGAGATTCAACAAGACAAAGATGAATTAGTTCAGTCAGATTAAACTTTTTTACCATCTAACGGAATAAATAACTAAATTGAAAATTAAATAAATTATCAATGAAAGAGAGAGTCTTCTACATACATCTAAGTTTGATGGAATCTCAGCATTGGCTTCTGGAGCCGGAACTGCTCTTCCAGTCCTATCACGAATTCTAACTCTTCTACCACCATCAACAACATTTGTTTTTCCACCGAGGCCTCTTTGTCTGAGAAGTAAATCATCGTAAAATTAGAGTATCATCAGTCATCAAACAGTCAAGACCATCCAAAACAAATACAGTAGGCATGAAGAAAGAATAAACGAACCTTCTTGCTTCCTCTTCTCTCAACTTCACATCCAATTCTTTGCTGGGAGGATATTTGGGCAAACTTGATGGCTCGCAAGCATAAGGTTCAGTGGTAAAGAACTGTGGTTAGAAAGCAAATGGCATATTAAAATCCCAAGACATATTAAAAATCATTTCACATATTAGTTTGAGGACGTTAACATCAAGCCATTTCAAGTCAAAAAGAATGCAAGACTTGTTTAGCAAAAACACTTCCAAAGGATCAAATTCCATTGCAAGCACATGTCAGAACTTTTCAAGATAAACCAACAAGTATTAGTTTGTCAAATTTGCATGATATAAGGCTATCTTGAGCCGTGTGTTCATGGGCCGGTTAGCTCAGTCAAAATCACTTACTGCACTATTTAGAGCCGTTGTCGCAGTGCCACGGTTGTCAGGATCAATTGCAAGAAGAGTTTCAATTAAAGGCATAGAAGAAGGTGGGAAATCCTTGAAGGTCTCTGCTATACAGCGTTTGTATGGCTGCTGAGGTTTAAAAAGTGTTGCATTTGGCAGTTTTGACTTCTTCCAGTATTCCTCTGATGGAGAACCACATAACTTAAATATCTTGTGCAGTTGTTCGACCTAAGCAGGAAAACAAATGAAAGGCAAGTCAAAGGTGAACCTGCTAACTATAAGACAGAACATTAAAGAAAATACAATAATGGAAAAACAAACTGGTAACACGACCAAATCAAATTAAAATCAATATAAATTCCAGAACCAACATGAATAGAAAGTTTCCACAATGACAGAAATGACTGGAAGATGTTATTATATACTCAGTTTCTACACCAAGAGTTCCCTGGAAAAATTCCAGGACTAATAGAAAAACAAAAACTATTTTAATAATTTTTGTCCAATACAAGTACGACGGCCATTTACAGTTGAAAAAGCTAAACGTTTTCAGAGGTAACTATTCTCAAATCCTTCTTTTCCCTCTTGCCTCATGTAGCTAGATCTAGAGAATGAATCCTTATATAGCATCAAAATCTCAAATCAATAAGTTCATCAATGCAATCATGTTCACATGCATACTCTATTGAAGTGACAGAAGTCCCATTCAAGAAGCAATGCATGAGAGAGACCACAGATTTCAAAGAGCATAGAACTATTCAAGAAATAAGCAGTACTCAATATTGATGTTGCATAAGGATTCCAGCAGTAACAAGTAATGGTATCATCACTTGACCATGATAAACAAATCCGAATAGAAATTATTTACCCGATAAAGAAGATCGAAACAATACCTCTGTCCGTCCTGGCATTATTGGCTTCCCAGCAAGTAGCTCTGCCAAAATGCAGCCAGCACTCCAAAGGTCAACACCGACACCATAATGAGTGGCCCCTAGCAGAAGCTCAGGAGGACGGTACCAGAGAGTGACAACTCGACTGGTCATCGGAACCTTATGCTCGGGGTCAAAGAAGGTAGCTAGTCCAAAATCAGCAATTTTTAGAACTCCTTCATTGTCAATAAGCAGATTGGAGCCCTTGATATCCCGATGCAAGACACCTCGATTGTGGCAATGCTCAAGGCCAGATAGCAATTGCTTCATGTAGCATTTGATCTGCAAAGGAGCATAATCAAGAAACATATCGGTCAATCAAATGATCCATCCTTGCTTATGTTAACCTTGAGAGCAGATACAATTGGCAAAGTCGAAATAGACAATATCCAACAAAGGGATTATATAAAAATGGCTGTTTTATTTCAGCAAGAAAATGTATAAGGCCATTGATTATACTTTGAGTTGGGCATCTTATTTGGCAGACTTTTCAATTTAAAAAAAAATCCAAAATTCAGTCCCATCAATCTTTCTACAGTTTATTTAGAAGTTTTTAAAAAACTTGTTTTTTTTCTGTCACTCTATTTAGCTCTTTGGTCATTGAACCAAATAGAAAAATATATTTTAGTTTTAATTAATGAACTCACTTCAAGAACTATGAGATTACATATACAAATATCAATTAAAATTAAAAACGCACCTCTTACATTTGGTACATCCATTAAGAAATTGCCTCCTGATTAATAGCTCCAAAACCAAGCCATAATCAACAATACGAGGTGCAAACTTATCTCAACAATTGATCAAACTTTTGATTTAAAAATAAATTTTTTGTCACTTTATTTACATAACTAACTTACATAAGGATCATGAGTTGTATATTTTCATTCATTATATCTTTTATTTGAAATATATTAATTGTCGCGTAATAGTTTGTAGTCTCAATTTTTAATTTTTATCAATCAACATATCTAAAAAATATTTTATCCAGAAAGAGTTCTAATGATAAGACATTCTATTTACTTTCTTCCAGTCATAATAAGTAAATCTACCATATATTATATTTCTAGACACTATATCTTTAACTAGGTTGAGTTATAAGTTTAATTAGTTAAATTACTTAAGAGTATTTGTCTTTATATTTAGCTTATTTTATGTTTTATAATTAAAAAGGCTGAAAAATTAATTCCAATTGTTAGTGGGTTCTCAATTTGTCCTGCCAAATTTGGTCATCCATTGATCATAGAGGCATACTTTGCAAAGCATTCTTATTTGATTCAACAACAGGTAATATATCAGTTAACCACATACTAAATATCAATATATCATACCAACTCTTTTACATAATGGATGGTCAAGATTAGCTCTCATACATCCAAAGACCATTATTCTCCAGAAACCAATGATTCTGGATCACCATACTATTAGCCTAACTTGGGTAATACAAAATGGGCATGGGCCCAATTGCCTCCAGGAAGGTCTTGTATTAACATCAAAGCTCTCAACAAGAAAAACAAAAAAACTAAAAAGAGACAACCGTAGCCACATAATCTCAAAAGGCCTAGTTAGGCAAAAAGAGTAAAGTGCACTACACATCCAAAAACTAAAAAACAGCCCTGAATAGCGAGAAAATCTTAGGTGAACTAGCTCTTTGCGTGGCATAAAGACTAAACAATAGTAATTGGCTATATCAATAAAACGGTTACAACAATACAATGACAACAACCATGGAAGATGTTCTTAGTAATTTACAATTTATCACATAGGCTGCATATGGTAATTTCTTAACTAATGTAGTAGGTCATTATTGGTTAGCCTACCATCCTATGTGGCAAACTCATTCCACATAAGAATTTCTCCTGGAAAGCATATGTCCAAAGCCATCCACACCAACAAACTTACCCCACAAATACCATAAAAGTCTACCTTACTCCAACAAACCCCAATTAATAAATTTATATATAAACCAACAAGAAAACATAAATTACTCTGATTCTTGATCAATCAGTTAAAGAATGTACCTGAGCCTCAGTGAACTTGACTCCCTGGCGAGCTGCTAGACCGGCGAGATCATGATCCATGTACTCAAAAACCAAGTAAAGGCTACACGACATTCTTGAAGTAACCAAACCTTCTAGCTTAAGCACATTGGGGTGATCTAATCCTCTCAAAACAAGAATCTCCCTTGCCATGAATTTTACACTCTCTGGCTCTAAATTATCGAACCTTACCTTCTTTAAAGCGACTATCTTCCCTGTTATTAGATCCCTCGCTTTATATACATTGCTATATGTTCCTTGACCAATCTAATTAAGACAAAATAATAACTATCACCAATGTTAATCTCACATGATATTAATTGCTAAAAGAAAAAATTCCTGTTCTTTTTCTGTAAATCTTTTTTTTTTTTTTTGGTTACCTTGTCAAGCTTCTCGAAGGTGTTAGCCCGACGAGGAATCCAGTCACCGATTGCATCACCGGCGACCGCCATTAGCCACGAAGGCCAACCTTGCTGGTTCACGAGCACAGACTCCGGCCGTGGCCTCCGTCGCTCCGGCACCAGAACATCCGACTGCAAATCATTGTTGTGTCTAGCCTTTTGCCTCTGCGTCACCTCCTTCTTAGCCCTGACTGCGTTAACAGCTCTGGAAACTATGACTGAAGGTTCGTCGGAGCTCCGTCCACGGTTAGGAGATCCATCTTTGCTCCGGCCGTCACCGGACTTCGTCTTGCCGATGACGCAACCCATTTTCAGGCGTTTGCGCGTTTTGTATACATGAGAACAGAAGTATTAGTATTATTCCGGCGTCGGAAAACCGCTACAACTAACCTTTAAACCTTCGCCCACAAACGACACCGTTCCGGACAAAAAAAAAAAAAAAAAAAACGACAAAAAAAAAAAAAAAAAAAAAAGCAGCTACAAAAGAAAAAAAAAAAAAAAAAAAAAAGCAGCTACAAAGATGGATAGAGAAAGAGTTGGCTGCTTAACGGAGAGTACACGAAACAAAGGACAGATTTATAGCAGCTAGAGATTAGACTTTTATTACTCGCAAAGCTTTTTAGAGGGAGAATGAAGAGAGAGACTTTAGCCCGCGAAGGCTGCAAGGTAGCTTAGTCTATGCAGAGGAGTCACTGAGGATACTGAGAGTGAGCCTTGGCCATCAAAAGAACGAGGCATGAAGTTTGTGAATAATAACAGAATTGCCATAGTGATGAGCTGTCCCTTGTCAGGGCTCAATGAACTATGAAGGCAAGATTTTTATACTGAGCTACTTAGATTTTACAAATGACGTCATTGGCTGAAATTTTAAAGAGTCAAACAGAAAAAATAAGAAAAAAATTTACTTTTGGGGGTTGTTATGTTAAGGACACTGCCCTAGTGCCCTTCCTTTCTTCTTCTTTCTACACAGAAAGAAAGCATAGGGTCTTTTAATAAAGGGTAGGGTCACAAGAGCCACGGATTGAATAAGCAAGTCTTAAAGGATGATGTCTTTCATGCATTGTTTGGTCTCCTCCAAAAAGTAGTGTACCATTTGGAGCCACTCTCTTGGATTTGTGGCCCTTGCAAAGGGCATCTTGACACGAAGAAATTAGGAGTTTAGATATACTATTTTGTTATTAAATGTGATCTATAAATTGCATTTTTGATTCTTATATCAAAGCATAGATAAATGACAATTACCTTAAAGACTAATGATTCAGTCTAAATTATTACCAATTAATTAGACTTTTTTTTTGAAGGGATTAATTAGACTTTAATTAATAGTATTTACGACTTAAGATCTTATAGGTTTGATATACATTATTGTGCATAACTGAGTTGTACAATGTGACACCATTTACATTAATTTCTAGCATTGAAAGTTTCTGTACATTTATTAGGGACCACAAATTTTTTCCAGTCAAATTTTCGATCCAATACAAAAACAGACCATCCCATTCAGAAACACAAGAGCCAATTCCACCTACCATAATTAAATCAACTACCCTTAAATTTTTCCTTCTTTCATTTTTTTACTATCCATATACGCATTTTACCCCAGCTAATGAGTAAAAATTAAAAAATGAGTCTTTGGAAAATAATTTACTTTTTTTATCATGATCTGATTAAGTTAATATTAATTTTCAAATGCATAAACTGACTATATAATGTGTCTTTAAACTTATTAGAATATGAGATATATTCGTTTTTAATAAATTTTTAAATAAAATGGAATAAAAATTGTTTTGATTTTATTAATTTTTGGATTTTACATTAATATTTTTTAAATATAAAACTGATTTCGTTTCAAAGTTATATTATTTCTCTCTTTTGTTTAGTTAGAAATCATCTTTCCATTTGAGCTAGATACCATTTAGACAAAAAGCATTTCATGAATCTCAAAGCAAACACACAACACATGCACATAAATTAGGATTTCTTCCAAAAGATTTTTATTTTTTATTTTTTATTTTCCTAAAGAATAAATAACAGAATAAGCACGTGTGAGAGCAATATTCACGATTAATATTAAAGTCTAATTATAATAAGATGCGTGCCTCTCGTCCTTAGCAACGAATAAATTCTCATCCTTTACTTGAAATTGTTCCAAGGAATTTTAAATTTTTATTTATAAATGAATATTCGTTTTTAAATTAATTGTTTATTTTGCTTTAAATTATAATTTATTGACTTTAACAGCATCAATCATGGTTAAATTTGGATTTTTTTTTTTATGAAATTTGTCTTGATAGAATTAATTAAGATAATTAGTTATTTAATTAACACCAGTTGGATAGAGACAAATTTGTTTAATTTTGACTTTTACAATTCAAAATGTTAAAAACAATTTCAGCAACACAATTTGATTAGTGGAAATTGAGATTTATTTTTATTAAAAGTTTTATTGGGGAGGGTTAGTGAATTGACCCAAACATATTGAATTTTAGATTGGAGAATTAAAAGTGACTTGCAAGAATGATGAGTTAAAAGAAAAAAAGAATTGAAAGGGAGAGTTTGATTTTAGAGGCAAAGTTGCAATCGACAAAGGTCAATGTGTCAAAACTTCCAGAATTGAAATTCTCAAACACGTTAGTTTGAACGTGTTGAATTTCCAATCCGGTTGCCTTTCATTCACTTATTTAATGGCCTCCTTCAATGACTCTGTGTCTCTTTTTTATTGTTATTATTTTTTTAATGGTTGATAAAATGTCGTGGTCTTTATTTTTTTTATTTTTTAATTTGTCTTTCCCATATTTACCATTATTTTCTGAATATTCTTAGAAAATATCGCCTTAATTTCAAATTCGTGCTATTATATTTTTATATTTGAGGAACAAACATCAAAATATAGTAGTATATAATAATCTTTTTAAGAACAAGTTATATATATATATATTTTTTAAGAACAAGTTATTATATATATATATATATATATATAATAAATATTTGTTAAAACAAAATAAATATTTGTAAAACAACTTAGGGGTGGATATTTTATGAGTGATGTAAACACTTCCCCTTGGATGAATGGTAACACAAATGTTTTATATCTATGGAAAAAGGAAAAAGAAAAGAAGTACAGATATTCCCGCAATAAATAAAATTTTCAAAACAATCACAAAACTATGTAAAATATTAGATTTGAATACTGCCAATTGTAATTTTATTAACCGTTACCTGCTAGGGCTTAAATTCCTGACATTTTGGTTCATTTTGGCTCTCATCATGCAAGATTTCTTAAATTCCTGACATTTTTTTTTTTACGATTTAAATTTAAACACAATATTTGGATTGAGTTTTACTAATCCAGGGATTAACTTATGAATGAATATTTTCATTTGGGGCTAATTTGCAAATTCTAGAAATCATAAGTATTATTGTGTTATATGTAATACGACATCGTTTCAATTCCCGTCTTCAGTCTCCAATCGAAAACTTGGCCAAAAAGCCAGAAGACGATCAAAAACTTTGGCCGTCGCAGGTTTAATCACTCACTCACTTTCTTCCTGTCTGGCTCGATCGCTTGCTCGCTCGCTCACTCTTCGTCCGCAAAATCCATCTCTCAGAAAACATCAGGTAAAGTGTTGCTTATGTTTCCGCATCAGTGTTTTCACTTTAGTTTGATGAAATGGTTCCATACCATCGAAACCCTTTTTTTCCCCCTTTTCTTTTATTCACATATCTAGTCTCAATATCGATGCTTCAGATTTGATATTCCATGCGATCTTTTATAACCCGTTTGTGAGTTCCGTTCAATTTACACTGGATTGTGTATTCTATTGGTAGTAGATCGCTCCGATTAATCCTTGATTTCCCCCCCCCCCCCTCCCCCCCCCCCATAGTTTTTCACCTGTTTTAGTCCGTTTTGATTTTTTTTTTTTTTCGGAAATTTTTGCCCCCCCCCCCCCAATAGTTTTCACCTGTTTAGTCCGTTTGATTTTTTTTTTTTCGAATTTTTGTTAATTTTATAATTTAAATCTTCGTGTTTATTGCATTAATACATTGTGGAATTACTTAATTTTGGAGTTACAAATATTGCCGGGTGATTGAGATAGCGAATTTGGTTGCCCAGGAAGAATGTGGTTTATGCATTTTGCAAATCATGCAATCTTTATCTAGCTTTCATCTGCTGGAAGTTGTTTTGGTTAATTAGTGTTTCGGCATCTCAATGTTTTTGAGTTTATTACCTGGATTAGTTCTCCGATACTAGTCATGAATGCTGGTCATGAAAAAGCATTTTTCTTAAAGCTAAGGAATCAATCTCATTGTATTTTTTTTGCTGTGACCACCATTATTCTAGTGTATACTGAATGTTCGAGAACTGAATCTTTGGGCATTAACTTGGTCTTGCAGATTACAGACGGATCCCAAATGATATTGAGTAATTAATGCACTAATCTTAACCAATTCTGTTAGCACTGCACTTTGAAATTTCTGGCCGAAAAACTTTGCTATCAATTTCTATCAAGTTTGGCTTGGGCTGAGTTTAACAGCTAGAAAAATTTAAGATTGTTGTGAACTGTAAATGCATCCGCTTTGCAATTGAAGCACTAATTAGTTTGCTAGTTCAATTATATTCTCGGAAGTGCATGCACTTAAATTCTTAGCTTTCTCATTTGATTACCTATAAAGTCTTTTTAAACTTCCAAAGGCCAAATTCTTAGAATTGTTCCAATTATCTTATTTGAATTTCTTGAGTTGCTTTTGTGATGATAAATAATGGAGCACTCGAGTGATGTGATGGGCAATAAAGACAATGAATATCTAGTTCCTGATTTGTTGTCTTGGCATAGTTTTTCTTTAAATTATTATTATATGAACACTTAGATTCACCTTGAAAGGAAAGAAATAGATCTATTTTGGCCATTTCTTTGCATATGTGCACGCAGTAGTGTACCTTTTCCAGCTGACTTGACTGTTTTCTTTATGTTTAGTGTATAAGATAAAATGTCTCGAAGATACGATAGCCGCACGACAATCTTCTCCCCTGAAGGTCGTCTATACCAAGTGGAGTATGCAATGGAGGCCATTGGAAATGCAGGTACTGCAATTGGGATATTGGCAAAAGATGGGGTTGTTTTGGTTGGTGAAAAAAAGGTCACTTCTAAACTCCTTCAGACTTCAACATCAACTGAGAAAATGTACAAGATTGATGACCATGTAGCATGTGCTGTGGCTGGCATAATGTCCGATGCCAACATCCTCATCAACACTGCTAGAGTTCAAGCCCAGCGCTACACTTTTGCCTACCAGGAACCGATGCCTGTCGAACAGCTTGTGCAATCTCTTTGTGATACGAAGCAAGGTTACACACAGTTTGGTGGGCTCCGTCCCTTTGGTGTTTCATTTCTTTTTGCAGGGTGGGATAAAAATTTTGGTTTCCAGCTTTACATGAGTGATCCTAGTGGAAACTACGGTGGATGGAAGGCTGCAGCTGTTGGAGCAAACAACCAGGCAGCACAGTCAATGTTGAAGCAGGACTACAAAGATGATATCACAAGAGAGGAGGCAGTTCAGCTTGCACTTAAGGTGCTGAGCAAGACAATGGACAGTACAAGTCTCACTTCTGATAAGCTCGAACTAGCTGAGGTCTTTCTCCTGCCCACTGGAGAAGTTAAGTACCAGGTTCGTTCACCAGACTCTCTGACTAGGTTGTTAGTGAAGTCTGGAGTTACCCAACCTCCTGCTGAGGCTGCTTAGGTAAGTTTCAGCAGTAATTTGGTAGGTGTATGTCGTTTTGAGTACTTATGCAACTTTTTCTCAAAAGACGATCTTGCTTTGGTTGGACAAATTCAATATTGAACTCTCATGTTTGATCTGGGGTATAAGGCTGATGATATCTAAGATCTGATTGAATTTCTGTGAACAAATGTTATTTTGGTGTCCTTATGCATTCTCTTTGGAAAGCCTTGGTTGTGCATTCACTTTCACATATATGCTTTCTTGATCACTATCATGCTTGTATCCAATGATTTTAATTTATCGCTATTCATGATTGAGTGTTCTTATAGATGCGCTCCAATGTGAAATTAAGTTATTTTTTGATTGATGATAATGAGACATGGATGACAACAGTGGTACTAGGGCATTAAACAACAGCTCAATTACGGGGAAAAGGTCAAAAAGTATTGGAAGGGTCCATCAAGTGGTCTTTTATTATTCCAATTAGTCAGTTTCTCTATTAATAAAAAATACAAATATAAATTATAGGAATAGATTGACATTGGAAAAATAGAAAAATAATACGAGAAAAAGACAGGTATATAAAAATACTTGTAAGATGTTTACACACACTGTTCTTCCAAGAATATTTCTTATTTATGTGAATATGATTTTTTGGGGACAAAACTATTCAACCAAATCCAGTCAATGTGTCAAAACATTCAAGTCTAAAAAATGCAGTGTTTACTATTTAGGTAGGTGGCGTTGAATATTCATTGCCTTTTATTTTCTGCTGCCCTCCTTAAATGACTCTCTCATCTTTCTCTTCTCAACACCAACTGTATTATACTCCTTTCACCTGGTAGTTGCTTTACATTCGGTTTGCTGAAAAGTAAAAGAATGCTCTATCTTATGAAACCGACAAGAGAAAAAATAAGCTGAGAAATAAGATTTCAACTTAAAACAACCCGACCATTCTATTGTAGTAAAAGTAAGAACAGCTTATCATTCATAGGATTTAATCTTATACTGTGTCAAATGTGAGCCTCTGTTTCAAGTTCTTCTCGAGGCTATAAATTGCTTATATTATAGTCAGTAGTTCCAAGCTTTCAATTTATTGAAAATTATGTTCAATCATTTATCTGATAATGAACTTAATGAGTGGTCCTGATCTGCTCTGCTCTCACAATATCAATGGAGGAACTGTCCATATCTTTCTTTTATGGTACAAATTTTTTTTGAAAACAACAAATCAAATTAAATATGGCAATTTCAGTCCTCATGTTAAAGTTGGACAAAAGCCAGAGAGTCACAACTCACAACTCACAAGCATGCAAAGTATCCAAAGCAAAATAATTGCGAGTGAAGGGGTCACCTTAATTAATTTAGAACCAACATATGTCATTTTTTTATTGGCTATTTTCTCTTCTTGTGGATAGGTGAACCTTCAAGGCCCTTGTCTTATATTTCCCTTTTAACATTGGAAGAAAAATAAAGAATTTGCTATTCCTATCGCCCAACATCCATTTTCTCACTCTCTACAAGTTCTTTGCTGCTTGCAACTTTGAGATTGTTATATATAAAACCATAATACATTGTTGAGCTAGCGTAGAAAGGGCTAAGAATTGGAAGTTGAAAGTTAAAAATGGGCTGCTGCTCAGATGCAGATGAAATATTGATGCCACTGGTGCTAGCTTTAGTCTTGGCGATGATGATCTTCCTCGTCTGTCAACCTCCTCCTCCAAGAAGAGCTACTGGTTGTTACTGCTCTTGAGTTGTGTTAAGACACATTCTTGTAAGAAAATATATATATATAAAGAGCTACTGGGTTTGTTACTGCTCTTGAGTTGTGTTAAGACACATTCTTGTTAAGAAATATATATATATATATATAATATATATATATATATATATATATATATATATAACGTTATAACTATTCTGTATTAAATATTAGTATTTTTGAGTTAAGCTAGGTCATAGAAATAATGCATTTACGTCGTTCTTGATGGAGGAAGAAGAAGTGCTGGTAATGGAATGGTAATGTCAGTCGTCAGATATATGCTGAAATGTACAAATGTAAGTTCCGGCCCAAACCATTAATTTAGAATTCCAGCAACTGGGCTTTTTCGTGGTAACTTTTTTGTTTTTCTGATACATTATTATTTTTCCTCGTCAGAAAAAGTGGAATTCTGATGGTGGTTTGATCTGGATGTTCCAAGCCCCAACTTTGATACCATGTTAAACCCCAATTATTAATATCTATCCATTTCAACTGGTTTGTCTTCCTCATTATACATGTGCGTGATATCTTACTTCCTTCCTGGGAGAAATTATACCAGAGTTCAGCTAAGGAAACTGAAGAAGAGGAAGGAAGGCAGGCTTTAATTAAGCATAATTGATTTGATTATCCCAAACTTTACTTTCAAAGACCTGGCACAATGAATATTTTACATTAATGAATATTGTATCAGTGTCATCTCCATCACTTAAAACGACCAGATAACAATTTCAATTTTTAATGGATGAAAAGTGGAAATTAATATTTGAGCTACGTTAGAACATAAAACTAATTTCTCAGAGTTCCAGCGGTACTGCCAACATGGTTTTAGTTTCAGCAACTCCATCCATATGCATAATTGCTAAAAAGAAATGGACTTGGATAAGGAAACCCTATATTCATATAGACCTTTTGTATCTTGATAAATCGATCAGCATCAGTATCATCAAATTCTTTTTCTCAGCCAGAACAAAGCTTTTCAAGTGCCAAGTTTTCATCACCCCCCACAGCTTCCAGCGTACTCCTGACTTGAGCTTCAGGAAAGCCCATCTCGACAAGTTTCTGCACCTATAACCATATCAACACTAGCTTATCAAATTGTCACTCCAACGTAATATCACCATCATGAATATATATTGTCACTTCCAACGTTATATCACCATCATGAATATATATTATATATATATATATAATATTATATATAATATATTAAATGTAGAGTACCTTACCAAACATTAGGCCAAACTGAATGTTTTTTAAATAGGGTAATATATAGCCAACAAAGCGATATATAAGATGTAGAGTACCTACCAAAACCATTAGGCAAATGTAATGTTTTTTAATAGGGTTAATATAGCCACAAGCGATTACGAGCAGAGAAAAAGGAAGAGACAGAACTATAAGAGCAAAGAGAGAGAGGGGCAGTGTAGCTGAAAACAAAACTGATACTCTCATTACCTTTTCCTCAACTCCAAGAGATGAGGCCTTAGCAAATGATTCTGTCCAGTAGCGGGCAGTGCCAACAAAAGTCTGATAGTCTTTAAGATACTGCAACGTCCACAGTAACCAACTTAAAAGGTGATGAAAAATTTAAGTTACACAAACACACACCACAAGGAAGCAAGATCAACAGCAAAGGCCAGAAAGTCTAATATCAGTATTGCATGGAAGGGCATAGTGAAACTTAAGACTCTTTTGTGGAACTCAACAGAGAAATGAGGCACAAATTTTATTATTTTTGAACACCAAAATATGCTGAAAATCATAATCAGAACACTCTAAATCTCACTTGCGAACCACAAATTGTCAATGAAAGTTAGCAAAAAATGAATGCATCTCATACATGGTGCATTTAAATTTGAAAATCTATAATAGATCATGATGCTCCACAGACAGATCTATGCATGCAGTTCAGGGTCTTAGAAAGCCACGACTGCGTGTACTACCCACCTCCCACAACCCCCTTTTCCCCCTTGCAGTGCATTTAAGACAAATCCAGAAACTAGATGCTTGTTCAAGCTCATAAATTTTTTGCTCAAATATCAAAAGAAAACGATTGCATAAATTGAATCATTCAAATCTACAACCAAACTTGATATCTCAAGTTAAGCTGAAACCTTGGATGTAAACTACAATAAATTAAGACAGATAACATGCAACAAGAAATAGTTAGTTGCACAAAATAAAAGCTGCTCTAGTCAATTTAACAGAGGATGAAATAAAACTAAAACAAACATAAACTTCCAAATTCATAGCTGAGATTCCATCAAAGCCAAAGGGATACGAAACATAATAGAGATAGTAAAACTAAGGATTGCAGCAAAGTACAGAACCTGTTGTGCGACTACAGCATCTTGAGGGTCATCAGGTTGAGGAGCAGAAAGTAATGCTTGAACAGAAAGCAGTGCTGTTTTTAGAGTGAGCGCCGGGCTCCATTGATCTTTCAAGATGTCTAGGCAAATTGCCCCACTTTGACTGCTAATATTAGGATGCCTGCACAGGTTACAACAAAAAAGAAAAAAAAAATGCAGTATTAGTCATCTCAAACCTGACCTGACACCGTTTTGTGCCACCGACATGCACCCTCTTTGAAACAATTTCATCAATTTCAAGATCTTAGGATAAAACATCAAGCCAAGATTTAAAAAATCATAATCCATTAATTGAAACTCAGTGTATAAACCACAAAGCCTATCATCAATTTCATATTATGATAGAGCCCTCAAGAAGTTCCTGCATTCAAGCACTATATATTGCAGAGACCAAAGACCATAAAATTGCATCTTTTACTTTTCAATGCACATCCTGAAAAGATCAGAGCATGCCTACAGAATATTAGCATAGAAAGAAAAAGAAATTGGAGGCAAATGATAGGTTGCTAAGACGTAAAGAGGGGCACGCCTGCAAAATACATGAAAGCCCATAAAATGTCCAGCAAGCACGTTAGGTAGGCCCATTTTTACCAGTAAGTTCACAATTATCTTCACTGAGGTGACAGAAGAACTAGCATCAGTTTCAATGTCATGGTCACATGGTGTCCAGGCAACAAAACTACAAAAGACTGCTTATTTCACTTACATAGAGAATGATCCTGGTTTTAACTTCAAAAATACCCCCAAAATGAGCATGCACACTTGTAAATCATGATTATGATCCATATGAATTTGCTCAATAAATAAATTCTTAAAATTCTGACAGCCTTTTCAAATAAATAAATTTTATATAAAACATAGCGATTTTGCAAGTAACTCAGGCAAATAATAGCCTATTATACAAATTCTTCCTACCAGACTTTTGTTGCGAACTGCATTTTGGGAGGCTCGAAAGGATATCCATCTACAAAAAGAATCAAGATCGAAAAGCAAGTCAATAGAGGATCTTTTTTTAAACCTTCTACATTCTGACAACAGCAAACAAATAGCTATAAGCAAATATAAGTTCTGCGAAAAAATAAAAACACAATTCTATGGTCCTTTTCCTAATATTCTGTTGAATGCATTAATAGATTGGTGAACCATCATCTAACCCGCTTGAAAACCTAACCCACAAATTATAACTGGTCTCTAGAAGAAACAACAGCAGAGACATATAAATCCCAACCAATTGAAAATCTTCGGAAGTCACAAGTGGCGGACACAACTTCTTCAATATCAAGCAAGTTGACTTTATTTCTGAATTTTCTTAACCTTGTAAAGAATCAAACAAAAATAAAACCCAAATGCAGCTCCATCCAGAGAAACCACAAAATTAGTAACAAAAGACTCCAGAAAGGCAGTAAATAACTTAAATTAAGAGACAAAACACTTTAAAACTCAATCCATTGAAGAGTGGGCGTGTGTATATATACCAGGCAGCGAGATATCAATTTGGAAAGTGCCACCTTCGTAAGGAGTTCCGATAGGCCCAGGAATGGTGCCGATTAGACGGGCAAGATTGTCAGACTTAGGGGTGACTTTGATACCAGAGGCCTCTATATCTCTGCTGCATTCTTGTAGTTCTTTTTGAACGCGAGAAAAGTCGATCATCTTCTTCGATTGAGAGTGAGAAACCCTAATAGCTACAATAAAGAACGGGCAATATTGAAGTTGATATAGAAGATACGAGAAAGAGAATAAAGGCTCTGTTTCTCTCACTCTAATAGATGCTTCGCCTGCCCCTTTTGAGAGAGATAGAGAGAGAGAGAGAGAGGCTGAGGAGAAAACAAAAACTTCGCACCAGTCGTAGAAATGTTTATTTCACACGCCCTATTTATTGTTTGCTTCGCAATAAATAAATAAAAATGGCAAACCGCTAATTTATCTCAATTAATTTTTAAAACTTGGAGTATTATTTAGGAGTAATATCAAAGTTCCAAATCTCAAAATCATAAAAATTTCATTTTTTTTTATGTAAATATTAAAATTTTCAATTAATTTTTAGTTTGAAACGTGTATATATTATTTGTAAAATAAGTGAAGAATGAAATTTTTTTTAATTCGAGTCTTTTTGCCCGTGAGTCAATTAAACTTATAAATATCAAAATGAATATGTTTTATATAAAAAAAAAATAAAAAATAAAAAATCAGACTTTACCTGATTTTATTTCTTTTATGATATTAATACCATGAATTTGTGGATTTTTGTTATAATGATGCACCATTATGAAAGGGAAATAAAATGAAGTAATTGTTCCAAGTTAAATAAGAAGGCAGATGGAATATCTGCAGAGCAGAAAGCGTTATTTGCTGCCTGGGGCCAGCACAACACTCTCGTGTCTCTCTCGGTGGTAGAAAGGTATACGCCTAATAATTTCTTGCCAATAGACTATAGTAAATGGAAAGGAAAGGAAAGGAAAGGAAAGGAAAGGAAAAGTGCCTCCCAATACCTTTTTGTATATTATTTGATTTGATTCAGTGACATTGGAGTGTGCCAATGAGATTAATGCAATAGATTTATTAGGTAGGCCTGTGTGAATTAGGTAAACCTAATATTGTTTAAGGTACTTGGTTTGAATTTCTAGTTAAGCCTTTAACTATAAATTGAAACATTACCCACTAATTCATTCTTCTATCATATTTATTTGAATTTTGCCTTCCAACATGCTCAAGTGTCAACAAGAAATACATAAAAGGCTTTTATTTATTCCACATCAAGGATAGTTGGGCTCTCAACATATTATCATTACTCCTTACTCAACAACTATTTTACCTTATCTCAAAAAAAAAAAAAAGATAGTATTGGGCTCTCAACATATTATCATTACTCTTACTTCAAACAACTATTTTACCTTATCTCAAAAAAAAAAAAAAATAAAAAAAAAATAAATAAATAAATAAAAATAAAAAGAAAAAAAAAAATATATATAATCAAAAAAAAAAATATATATATATATATATTAGCTTCTGTGCGCTTCACAATGGGCCTCCAATTTGATGGACCTCAATGGGCTTAGGCTACCCGGATGAATATTCTCAAAATTATTTTTTAGTTTATTATGTTTTAATTATAGAATTGTATTTCTAATCCCACAATTCTAAAAATAATATTAAAATTGTGAAATCTATCATCTATTTTTCATTTTTTAGGAAACATTTTGTCTCTTGAGATATCATTGAATTGATGTAAACTATAAACATACATGCATTACTCATAACTAATTATTTTAATTATACTATGATTAATTAAACAAAGCTATATTTTTAAAATCAAACAAAGAGGCGGCCGTATCAGATCAATTATTCAATGAGTTTAGTAGCGTGAAAAAACAGATTATGGCAACTACAATTATATTCGAAGGGCACGGAAGGAAATTGGAGAAATTAAATTGAAAGATTAGACACGGAAGCTCGAAGAATACTATCCAGTATGCCTTATCTTAAATCATAGCAAGTCATAATAAAAGGAAATGAGAAATCCATGAAGAAAGCACCGAAAATGGGAGTTAGGGTGGGGTCTGTAATCGCAACTCGCATGTGGCTGACCAAAGCTTGGATTGGATGGCATGATCCATTGTACGCGGTGGCCAGCTGCCCAAGTGTACAGCGGCATTGCCAAGGGAAACGACACGTCTGTTCAGAGACGATAAGAGCAATTCTGGTTGTTTAGAGTCTCCTTGGAGATGACAACGACATATTGTCATGTTGTATATTTACTATTCCTTTTTTCTGATCTGATTTATTAGTAAAAATTTTTGTTTTATCACCTTGTTGGGAAATGAACAGGAAAACTTTGAATTTTTCATGTATTAGTAACTTAATTTTAATTTTGATTTTTCAATTACAATTTGATGATATGCTCTGAATAGAAATGGATCTATGCTTACCATCTATGTACATTTTTTTTTTTTTTGAAAGAACTTACCATCTATGTACATGCATTGCTCATTCAATTCGTGTTTCATAAATATGATTATTAGATTTTTTTTTTTTTTGAAAATGGAATTTTGTTTTATTCAGTAAAATCTGTTATATATATATATATATAATATATATTATATATATATATATATATATATATATATATAATCTATATATATAATCTAATTAAGCTTTTGTAGTAAATTTAATAATCCAAGGTAAAGACAAAATAATATATTATAGATTATTAGGAATATCATAAATTATCAGTCTCATACAAACAACCGAATCAAACTTCTCCTGAATATTAATAACTGGATAAATCCGATCAACAAAAGAAATATTTATTTCCACGTAATCTCTTTCAATTTCCGAAAACCTTTTTTAAAAAAAAAAACTTTATTTATTATTAATTTCAGGGATTGTCGATTCGATTGCAAGTAAAAATATAAAAAAGGAAGGTCCCGTCCATATCCATAGCAAGGGAAAGAAGAGGGAGAGGGGGCCAATGGCTAGGCATAGCCGGTTTATTGAACTGTAGGTTCCGGTTCACGGAATTTACGGTTTAAAATTTTTAAAATATTGAATTTGAATCGCTGGTTTCAGTTTTGATGAACCGATGATTTTGATTACGATTTTCGGAGATATATGTTTTTTTTTGAAAAAAAAATCGGTTCTAATATTACATTTTTCTTTTGAAAATATTAATGTGAGTTTTAAAAATATTGATAAATTTTATTTTAAATAAATTTTAGAATGCTCATATTCATAAATAATAAAATTAATTAATTTTACAAAATGCTTTCCATATTTCATAAAATAATGTAGAAATAATAAGGTTTTACAAAATTTAATCAAAATAGTAGTATCACTTTATTTTGGTTTAAATGTGTATTAAGTAGAAAAATATAAGAAAAGCTTTTGAAAATATGGCTTCAAGAAAATTATAATTTTAAACTAGTAAACCAAATTTTAAAAGAGTAAAAAAAAAAAAAAAATAGGTTGAAAACAATATAAGTTTAGACATAAATATTCGGCTCTTTGTTTTTACCATTTTACTTTTTAAGAGTTAAAAACAATATAAGTTTAGACTAAATATTTCTCTTTTTTTTACCATTTTACTTTTTAGATTTTTAACTTTTAAAGTAAGGTGTATTAAAAAAAAAAACTTAAGTAAAGTATATCACGTAGTAAAATATTATTGAGACTTTTAGATATGTATAAAATAGGCTAAGTAATTATTATTTTGAAAATAAAAATAGAAAATTTTCGGTTCGAATCAGATGGAATCGCCGGTCCAGGATCGATTCAAATTCAAATTTTAACATTTATATAAATTTTAACCGGCCCTTGAACCACCGGTTCCAGTTTAAAATTTTGAACCGATGATTTCAATTTGATTCTAATTTATTTACAGTACGATTCGATTCTAGTTCGGTTTTGATTCAAAATGGACCGGTAGCGGTGCCAACTAACGGCCATTGTTTGGTTAAATAATGAAGCAGACAAAGACAAGTGAAAGAGAGCCGCAAACCTTTAATTCAGCTTCGAAACAGAACCGAAACCTGTAGTTTTTATATGCAAGTGGTTTTCTATATATAAAACAAGGAAAAAGGAAAAAAGTGAAAACAGGCAGCCCGCCAGCCTAGACATTCTGTTTTAAGCGGTGACACTCAGGTTTCAATTTTCCGTAATAATTCAAGGACTTGGCTGGAGGTAGAGATAGAGATAGATGGAAACGCCAGGAACCGCAAAGAGAACAGAAGAGACTCCGAGGAGAAGAAAGAAGAAGAAGATTTGAGGAGGACAATACAGATTTTGATTTTTTTTTTTTTTAAATTCGTTTAATTGACACTTGAGGCAGTAGTTTGTTTTATCTGGTTTGATCGGTTGATCAATTTTAGGCAGGCCGGTGTGAGCTTGGGTTTATTTCTTTGGTTTTATATGATCGCAGGCTTCACCGGTGCGTTTCCTGATTGGTTTTTTTGTTTTCAGTTGCTTCTTTCTGATTGTCTGTTTTTCCAATGAGAATTTTTAAGATTTTGCTTCCGTGCTGTCCATTCATAGCTATTTGTTATGTTCGGTTGCCCAGAAAATCAAGGCTTATGTCTTTTTTTTTTTTTTTTTTTTTTTTTTTTTTTTTTTTTTTTTTTTTTTTAATTTTTTTAAGTATAAATTTTCTCAGCTGAAACTTTCAGTTTTATTACGCTTGGTTAATTAATATATGTTAAAGAAGAAAGAATACATGTGTTTACCTAAACCTTCAAGTTAATTTATTGGTTCTTAGGGCTTACCGGTTGTATGGGGAAAGAGTGTGTTTGAGTTCTCGTTTTCTGTCCATTACTGTCTGCAATAACACCGTCGCATTATTTTTTTGACTTTGAATTCTTAAACATTTTTTTTTTTTTTTTTTTTTTTTTTAAGTATAAATTTTCAGCTGAAAACTTTCAGTTTTATTACGCTTGGTTAAGTAATATGATGTTTAGAAGAAAATACATGTGTTTACCTGAAACCTCAAGTTAATTTTATTTGGTTCTTTAGCTTACCGGTTGTATGGGAAGAGTGTGTTGGGTTCTCGTTTCTGTCCATACTTCTGGCAATAACACCTCGCATTATTTTTTTGACTTTGAATTCTACATGGTTGATAATTTTCGTCTATGAAGCTAATTTCTGCAGTTTTGAGGCATCTGTTGATGTGCATTTGATGCTTTCCTAATGATCTGTATCATTATAATCTTATCGAGCTGATGTAGGTTTACCTGTTCCAGGTTCTGATTATCTGCACAATCTGATGGAAGAATTATACTTAAAATATAGTTGCATTTAATTGGTGGATTTTAGTATCCTCTGCCATTAAAGATTACAAGTTTAATGGTCTTTACGGCATTGATAGGTTTGGAGGACTTGAATCCATTTGGTTAAATTGTAAACATGGTAATTGATTCTAGAGTTTCAGATTAATGGATTTAGGAGAAGTTAGATATCACAGAGGATAAGAATAGATAAGGATTCTCTTAACTCGTTGTGGGATATCGAAACCAACTCTGTGGATGGGTTTGCCTCAAGTTTCCTCTAGCAGCATTGCTGAGGAAGTGGCTGTATCTTTGAGCACATTGGTGCCAACCCCAGCTCGGCATGTTGGTGTAAGCAATTGCGATTTGACTGGGATGCAGGGAGGAAATCTTAGCAATAGAATGCAGATGGATTTTCCATGCTTTTCTTTTGGAGACATCCAGAAGAAAACAGTTGTGGATCATAAGAATGTTTGGTTGACTCATAAAAGTGGACAGAGCATTCAGACACCTATTTCTAGGATTGTAGGTTTTGAATCAAGGGGTTTGAATTCTCCTGTTAATTTGTTTAATGAAAACCACTCTGTGTCTACTGTTGTTAGTAGCAGTGGTGATGTAAATGAGTCCATGGGGTCGCTCGTCAGAAAGCGTTTACTATCTCCTTTGAGTGGAATGCTTCTTCCTGATCAATTTAATGGCGATTCTTTAGACATTGGTGACAGCATTTACAAGAGTAACTTTTGGAGTGGCAAAGACAATTATAAGGTTTGTGCGACACAAGAACATAAAAAAGCTCATATTGGCAGTTCCAATTTTTTTGATTCTCCAAACTGGTGTGCACCTTGTCTTCCAGAGTGGAAGAATTTACAGGATGATACTTACAGAAAAAGCTCCATTTTCTTCTCCGATGGTCCTATTCTTGAGGACAAAGAGATGAAGCCTCACGACCAATCTGTCTCACCACCTGGGCTCAATTGTTTTGAGGGAAAAACAAAGGTAAGGTCCCAAACTGGGGCTATTGCAATACTTGCAAAAAAGGCGGCGTCACCTCCCTTGTCATTGTCCCCTCTTGGTCCAAAACTTACTGAACAAATAAGATCTGCAGGATTATGCAGCAATGTCACAGAAAAGTTAGATGATGAATACTTGACTTTCAAGGACATAGAACAGTCGCTTGATGGAACTTTCCCTGGCATTTTATCTTCCCAGAAGCACATGGACTCTAGGGTACTGCATGAATCATTGCTGGATGTTGATAATCTGCATAAAAAGTTTGATGTGTTTATGCCAGAGCTCACTGGGGATGTGGTGCAGCCATTGGGCAAGGATTCAATTGGTACTTCTCCATGTGTCAAATTATGTAGAACGCTTAGCGGATTGCCTGTTAGAAGGTCCTTGGTTGGCTCATTTGAGGAGTCCCTATTATCTGGTCGATTACTATCTGGTAAAGTTAGCCAGGTGAGCTTATGACTTATGATGGATGAAGTTCATGTGTTTGGTTAAAGGCATATCGAACTGTGGTTTTGGTTGTTCATGCTTCTTTTCTAACTCCTGTTTTATCATTCTTATTCTCAGAAAATTGAAGGGTTCCTTGCTGTTCTTAATGTCACCGGAGGGAATTTCACACCACAATCACAGAAACTTCCTTTTGCAGTGACCAGTGTAGATGGAGATAACTACTTACTATATTACTCATCGATAGATCTAGCAGGGCATTTTCCACCAAACAAATGTAGTGGGCCTAGTGGCACAAAGATGAGGAGGAGCCTAAGCATTGATGATTCACAACCAGAAAAAAGCAGGCTACGTATTCCTATGAAAGGGCGAATTCAATTGGTAATTTAATCCCTTTTACTTCAATTCAATATGCTGTTAGTTGTCCTGCACTGTCTCCATAACCCCCCCCGCAAAGAAAATGAAAAATAAAAAGGAAGGGAAAAGGAAAACCACCCCAGGCCAAGTTGAAAATGGTAGTGCACAGCATCTTATCTAGGGGAACTTGTGTAGAATCAAAGAATTGGCCTTTTCCACTTCATTGTCTCTATTCGAAGATGTTGAAGCTAATTATTCATTAACTGATGCATCTCCTAAGTAGGATAGCGATGCGTATGTTAGAAAAAATAAATAAAAGTAAATAGCTAATCCTGGGGTTTCGGTTTTAGTGGAGCTTAAAGTAATACAACACTGTTAAAATTTTACTCCTCCATTTCATTGTCAGCAAGAGATTCGGGGCAAATGTGTGCGTTTGTATATCTGGTGATGAGCTTTGGTACATAATTGAACAGCAGCTGTTCTATATATTTTCATGTGCATAGCTAAAGGAACACAAATGATAAGACTGGATTGGTTTCTGCAGGTTCTCAGTAATCCAGAAAAGACACCTATTCACACTTTCTTTTGCAAGTATGATTTAAGCGACATGCCAGCTGGTACCAAGGTAAGTTCGAACTAATGACAAAGTTACATGGTGTTATGCAAGTGGTAGCCAGTTTAATTGAAAGACTTTGGATAATTTGCTTTGAGCTTGATTGTATTGGAATATGTTCTGCAGGTATAGGAGGTAATGGCATATATTGTTTAATATTTAAGCGATCATATTCTTACATCTTTTCTTTGTTTCTGCTTGTGTCATTAACAACAAAAGAATATTTAGCATTTGAGAACTTAATAACATTTAATCTCCATGGGACATAAAGATGAAGTGTTGATGATGATTTTCTTTTATGTTGAGAAAACAATTAGTATGGTGACAGATAAGCATTTTGTACATATTTGACATTGCAGTTTTATGACAAGGAAGGAGAGTGAAAGAAATCCTGTGCTTTTTGCGGAAGCAAGTGACATGACTAAATGAGTCTCTTATTCAATTGTTTTTCACTTTTGTCCTGGACTGGACTGAAGATACATTTTGGGTTGTCCAATTTGTTTGGCATGGGTTTAGTTCATAACAAATTATTGAATATTCAAAAAATTACTTTGTCATTCATGAAAAAATTTCTTAAGGTGTTCTCCATATGGTGAAATGAACCAATAGTATAAATTGAATAGGATTCTGGATAATGAAAATTATCGTCATATTAGGAAATGAAATCATCTTATACGACCTTCAAATGTTTGAAGCATGGTTCAATTTGAAGTCTATCCTGTGACTTTTAATGGATTTATGATGTGAAAAATCGCTACTTTAGTCCGAACATCTGTTTACATACATTTGTTTTGCTTATTATTTTCTCTCTCTCATTTTATTTATTTAACTAAAATGTGCTGTGGTTCCTAATATGTGGCCCTTTTTTGCCTTTCCTACATCCTAAATAGACGTTTCTTCGCCAAAAGATCACCTTATCCTCAGCTGGGAATGGGAGAAATGGTGACTCTGACATAAAAAATGTTGTCAAGCAATGTTCAATCCCAGACGAGAGGGGGACTTCCAATTTAAATGGACTTGATGCTGAACATACAGTAAGATCTCCAAATGTAAATACTGGCATGGAGGGCAACAGCCCTCCAAATTCACCCAGTGTATATGTAAGCAAATCTACACATAGCCCTTCAAAGGCCAATGAAAACAATGCTGGAGCTGGAGTTTTACGTTATGCTCTTCATCTCCGTTTTTTATGTCCTTTCCCCAAGAAATCTCCAAGGTCAGTCCAGAGGTGCAAATCTGATCCTTCATCGGCACCAGCAGGAAACAAGATGTACATGGAAGGGGATCGTCGGTTCTACTTGTATAGCAATATGAAGGTGGTGTTCCCACAGCGCCACTCAGATGCTGATGAGGGCAAGGTGAATCTTGTGTCCATTAAAAATTATTCTGTAAATACATCCTTCAATCTGCATATTCTGCCATGGACATCAGATTTATTTTTTATTTTTTATTTTTTTGACACTGCAGCTACATGTAGAATATGATTATCCCTCAGATCCCAAGTACTTCGACATTTAAATGCCCGGTAAGCTATCCTCTTGAAAGCTGGTTATACAACTTTTGTACAGATGTGTACATTCAATTTCCTTTCGTCCTCTGATGGGTTGGAATTTCCCGTTCTATTTGTACATATTTTTCATTTTTTTAAAAAAAAAAAAAATTAAATTATATAATTTAATTTGATTATCATCGAGAGTTCCAGTCGTTTTGTACCAACATCGTTTCTGTGTCATCCAACGACAGATTGATCTATCGTAGTCATAAACGACACGTCATCACAAAACAAAACACAACTGTATTGAGCAAGAGAATTCGGCTAAGTTAATGACTCGATGCGATTCCTTACAATTGGTCTCTGGAAAGTGTAAACAATGACCATACGACTGATAATAAATTCCTGTTCTGTAAATTACTTAAAAAAGAAAAAAACGCAATCAGAGGACCGTAATTTGCTATGGCTAATAAATGATGATAAGAAACGACGAGATCTTAAATTAAAACGATTAGTCATTTTCTTAATAAAAGCACTCAATCCTATGTTACAAGTGAAAGAGTACATTAAAGATAGAGAGGAAAGGGACATGATTAGTACTAATATTCTCTCTCTCTCCTCCACTAATACTGTTACCTTGAAAATTTGTGGCAGCTAAACAATTTCTACTCTTAGATATGAATTCATTGATATCCACTTTAACCGCAATCCAATATAAGAAATAACCTCCGTGCCCACACAAGTTCCGTAATAAATATGGCACTGGGTACTTTTTAAATTATTCTCATCAAATTATTGAATATACAAATTAAGTAAGGTGTACACAATAACACATATTTCTAATTTGTTTCATAGACCCGTTACGTTAAAGATAAAAATGAGATGATTTTACTATGTTTTTGTTTATAGTGACAATCTTCTTGTCGGAATTTGTTCTTCAGTTCTCTTAATTTATAATTACTTTCATTATGGTCAGAGTTATTTTATTTCTCATACTTTTCGTGAAGATTGGTTCTTTAAATATATATTTTATTATTAAATTTGAGATTTCATATATCATATAATCAATCCTCAATATGTATGGTCTTCAGCATAGGCTGTATTATGATATCATCCTAATAGCTCATTTTTGAATATATATATATATATAGGATTTCATTCTTTTTAATGCTCTTAGAATAATGAAAATAGAGGTCTAATTCATGATGCTCTTCTCATCTTCTTCTACTCCTAATTTGAGCAACAGTTGTCATTACCATCAAAATTTATGATGGTTAGATAACCCATTAGGGTCTACCATATACGTATACGCTCGTTTTTACAGTTGGTTATTGGTCATTGTTTACACCCATTTCTCCAAAGCAGTATTTGTTCATGGAAGCCTTGGAGTTTTCTCACCGTCCACATCTAACAATTAGTGATTTCAGATATATTTATATATATATATGTACACATATGAGGAAAAAGAATCTATCTTCAACATCCAAAAACCTTTAGAAGGAAACCTTTATAAGATGGTAATTAAGACTATATGTTACTATCTTCTTTATGTCATAGCTAGTTTCACATCAACTTCTTTCCCATAAAAAAACCCTAATACCAATAGTTCTCATATATAGGTTATCAGAATTTAGAAAGTAACAACCAAAACAAACCATGGGTGTTAGTGCAAATTACAGATTACTCTTAAATACAGTTTTGTCTATATACACTATTTTGCACAATTTGCTTAATTAGCTTTACAATTCTGGTGGGAAAAAGAAGAAACAGCAAATGCTTCCATAGCCAACAAATATAGACTTATAGATAGTTTATACAGGCTAAAATGACCGCCTCTTTTTCTTTCTTTTTATGATATTGTGATACTTGTGGCAACTTCGTTTCTTCTTGTCCAACTTAACGGTATAATTACGTGATTAATTATTAAAAATCTTTGATAACTAAATCTTAACCTAGTTGTGAAAACAAGTGCTAAGGAAAACCTCTTCTTGCTCTTCTCCGATGGTTAAACCCTAACCAAAGAAAGGAAAAGGAATGGGAGAAGAGAGGATATGATTGCTTGGCAATTGAAAATTGAGAAAGAAAAGAAACGTAGTACGTGGGTTAACTAAAAAGGGTGTAGTTACATAAGAGGAAGTTGGAAGCCACGTGAGAGATGGGTCTAAGTTTATGATCACTGTGAGCTAGAAAGATTAGATATAGATGAGTGAAATGGATAGAAAGATTATATATGCCTTTCCCTGCCCCTGTAAATTGTAATACAAGCCGTGTCAACCTCCTTTCACTTCTCTTCATGTCGTTTGCATGATTAGAGAAACACAAACAAGCACCTTTCTCTAGAACCTTACATCTTCATTGCAACTTTTGCAAAATTAGGTCAAAATTTTCAAGATCTCTGTAAATCTCAAGGAAAAAGATCAAATAATTGGACTGCCCATATTTGGCATGAAGTTATTTTCTTTTACAATTTGCTTTTTGTATGGTTTTTAAAGTCTTCGAGCACATGGTGTGCATTTTTTCAATTCTGGCATCTGTTTTTCAAGTCTGGTGTGGATAAAATTTTATGTATTAAATGCAGCTACTGATGGTATATATTAGAAACTTATGATTTAATCGGGCTACTCATTTTTGTCAATCTCTCATGATATTTTTTAAGGTTTTATTTATTAACTATAAATATTTTATAAAGATGAGTTTATCCTTCGTCAAATTTTAAAAATGGATTGAGATAAGCACAAAGCAAAGTTTCATGTATCAAGTTCTAATTTCAACCCTTGAATTTGTAATTAAAGCTTCAAAGAAAAATAATTAATCAAGACATTTTATGAATTATATTCTTGGATCTCACCACTAGGGAAAATTTTTTATTTACTCTTTACTCTGTCCTGCCACTATCAGTACTTCTGCCAAGGAAGTTCAAATACCATTAATGACAGTGTTTCATTCTTAATGGGAAATTGGGACTATAAAAAAAAGCTTTAGTTATGGAGGTAGCAAGAATTCAAATATTAAGGGAAGTAAAAGAATTACTCTAATTATTACGGTCCCGTTAACTCGAAAAAATTAATCTCATTCGCATTAGTAGGTGAAAATAACTTATAGTATATAATATGTACTCAATATAAAGTTTAATTACGTTTTATCAACGAGTGTAATAACAAACAATGTGTGTTAATATAAGAAAAATTCTATAAAAATTTAAATTTGTGATGTCATATTAGAACAATGAAATCAATTCTCATTTTTTAAATCTAAGATTTTATCTATTTAGGAAGGGTAAAAATATTAATTGATATATACTTTGTAACCTAGTCTAAACTTACCGATTATTAATGCTATTTTCAATGTTTATCCTAACAAGTCAAAGCATAAAATAGATTTGCATTATCGCCAAGTAAAAAAAGAAAAAATAAAAATAAAATCCTAGCTGTTGAAGATTTTTTTTTTCCCTATTAAACAAGAATCTATAAAACAAAAATTAAAAGAAAAAAAAAAAAAAAAAGTCTATAGATGGTGAAAGAATTTAAATTTGTAGATGTCATATTTAGAACAATGAATCGAATTCGTCATTTGTTTGAAGTCATAAGATTTATCAGTTAGGGGGGAAGTGTAAAAATATGTGAGAATTGGGATAGGATACGTAACCTAGGTGCTAAGAACTTACCGATTATTAATGTCTATTTTCAAATGTTATCCTAACAAGTCAAAGCATAAATAGATTTGCATATCGCCAAGGTAAAGAAAAGAAAAAAAAAAAGGGATAGAGAAGTCCTAGCTGTTGAAGATTTTTTTTTTCCCTGATTAAACAAGAACCTTATAAAAGCAAAAATTAAAAGAAAAAAAAAAAAAACAAGGTCTTGCGAATCCATTGGTCCGATGTGAAAAATTAAAAAAAAAAAAAAAAAAAAAGGTCTGCGAATCCATTGTCCATGGGTTCTGGCGCTTGAACAGTTCAATCACATCAGAATGACCCCTTAAAACGTTTCTTACTTGTCTCTCTTCTATAAATATATATCATTACTTCACACCCTTTTTCTCTATCCGTTTCCAGTTTTCCTTTCTTTTTCTTTTTAAAAGAAAGAGAAAAAGCTTCTATCTCTCTCTACCCCCTGTTTCAGTACTCTGTTTTCTACTGCACTCTCCTTAAAAATGGCGGACATTGAAGACAAATTTCCTAACTCTCCTGTGAAACACAATAAAGTGTTTGTTGCAATCCAGTTTCTTTTTAGACTTTTGGTGGTTGGAACCACATTTGCTGCAGCTTACTTGATGGCTACTAACAAGCAATCAGTTACAATTGATAGCTTTTATTTCGATGCCAAATATAGCTATATCCCTTCTTTCAAGTAAGATCAAGATCATATTTTGAACCAAACCCATTATTTTATTTTCATTTTTTTTCCACTTAATTAGTCCTTTTTTTTTACAGGTTCTTTGCTCTGGCAAATATTATTGCGTGTGGCTGCTCTGTTGTGTCTTTTCTGCTGCTCTGCATTTTCAGTCGTCATGGCTGCAGTCCTGCCCATTTTTTCTTCTTGTTCCTTCATGATTTGGTAAATTCAAATAACATGGGTTTTGTATATTTACCATTTAATTAATTATTTAAAATTAATTGCCTTTTTTAAAATTTTTATTGTGACAGTTCATGCTGTGTTTGGTTCTTGGTGGATGCTCTGCTGCAATGGCAATAGGTTACTTGGGAAAGTATGGGAATGATCACTCTGGTTGGATGCCAATTTGCGATCAAGTGACCAAATTCTGTAACAGAACACAAATGGCATTCATTTGTTCCTTCTTAGCTGTGATTCTCTTGCTGATTCTTACTCTCACTTCTGCAAGCAAATCTAGGAAAGTTTAAATGTAGAACTCTAATGTTTAGCCTTTTGTCTAGAAATAAAAGCAGAACAGAAAAATAGAAAAGAAAAAAAGGAAGGTAGATAAAGATGGTGAAATGGGTATCTCTTGTAAGAACTTTAAATGACTGTTATTCTATATGAAAGGGAACCTCATTAATGTTTTTTCTGTTTAAATCTTGTTTTTTTTCATGCATTCATTTCTATTTCCTTGGTTGAATAGGAGCAGAGAGAATTAAATGTGTTAGGTAGGTACTCACTTACTGACACGTAATGAGATATGTGAATGTTTATGAAGTTAGATTCATTTCTTGAACAAGTGTCAGTTTGTACAAAAACAAAAAAGAGAAAGGAAGTCAGGTGGGGTTTCCAACAATAATACACATTCAGTTTTTTCAAGGAAACTGAGAGAAAATCTTTTCTGGGTAATGAATAATTAAGAGAATGAGAAGGTGCAGAACGACTCGGGAAGCCTAAGACAGCACAAAATTAATGTTACGTTTGTTAAGCTTAAAACAACATGAGATTTGCACTGGGAATGCATTTCCTTATATTACACTGAAAATTTACTGATACATCTCTTTACGGCTTTTAAAAATGGACTGTGAATGTCCTGTTAGTTAGTTGTGGTTTTTGGTTTTCTTTTATTTTTGTTTCCTTCCCAATTTCAAATTCTTTAAGGTCGCATTTGGATATACTTGCATTTGAAATTTTCTGTTTGTTTGAAATAGATAAATTAAGTATAAAATCTTTGTTCAAGTCATCTATAACCAATCCAATCGTTTAATTTCAAATAAAGGGCAACGCAGGTTTTAACAGAAACAGGTCATGCCCAGAAATGGGCCTCTTGCGACTTTGCAATTCTCTTATTTCAAGAGCATATTAAATCGTTCTTGAGATACTCGTCCAAGCACTAATTGACCAATGTCATTAATAATAGCCGAATGGGCAGTTCCGTCATTTTCTGGCCCATGATGCCTTCCATTTCGACCATTTGTTCACCAACTTAACCATGAAATGGGCCTCAGGGAAGACTAAGAAGAGAGTTTTAGAAGGACCGAGAAAGAGCAATGGGCCGCATAGTTGTGTGAACCGGCGCAGTACTTTCTACTTTGAAAAGGACGCGAAGGGCAACTTTTCCTTCCCATCATTTCAGCAAGAACTCGTTTTTTACCAAACCCTCTTGAGTAATTGCATCCACCATTCAGACTGACCAAAATAAAAATGAGAAAATGAAAGCACAAGAAAATGAAACATTGATGCTTACTGATTGGACCACCAAATGGTTCTTGCCCTCTGGTGATTTCATACAATACAGGCCAGGTTCTACGAATAAATATTAGCTATTAATAATGCAAGAAGAGATCGCAGGAAAGAGCAAACAAATGTAGGTAGGTCCTTAACCCTTCCCTGCTTTGGCAACCGCCGACACCAAGAGCTGAATGTGGCATAGAACAATTGCACATGCACAAGAACAACTGCACATGCTCTATATACTTTCTTCTATTATATGGATTAAACTTGTCCAAATTCCTTAAAATAGTCCGTAGTTGTAAACATCAGAATCATTATTGATTAACACTAGTCATAGCCATTTGCAAAACAGCAGCAAGTTCTTACCCATTCAAGTAAACATCAACATGATTCCAGAGAGTCGAAACCTGGAGCGACTGAGCAAAGACAACAAAATCAACCAACTCTGAAATTTTCTGATAATTCTTAATAAAGAAGCCAGAGAATTGCTGCAATCTAATAAACTATGCCACTGAGGCAGATTTCTGTGGCATGCTAGTTCAAGTAATACAACGAAGATTTCTTTCTATGCATTTTATTTTGGACTTTAGTTTGTGAATTGTAGCTCAGTAACCATATAAATCGACCTCTGTAAGAACCGCCAAATTACTTGATAGTCTGCCTCTGAAATCCTTCTTAAACTAAAAAGTCACGAACTGTGTACGAGAGTCGCAAACCAACAATTCATTTGTTACCACAGAGTCTCATAAAAGTATTTGTTGATTATAACTAAGGTTCTGATACCATAAAAGAACCAACAATTGGTACATAAAAACAGTAAGTATTATCTTAAACACAATACAAATACAGTACAACCAATTATTGAGTTTAGGATAAGGAACATGGACTCCAATCTAGTTAGGTCAACAAACAAAGATTACGGCTCTACAAGAGTTTCTCCAATGACAACTAAGCTAGCAACGTTTTAATTCCTACTGCAACTTAACAATAACTGTGTGAACAAAAAAGATCAGAAAAATCAAGTTAAAAAAAATATATAAATATATTGTACATACAGATGAGAGATTCATCTTTGCAAATCCATGTTCTTTTGATACACCAATTCAAGAATTATCTGATTGCTAAGGCCTGGCAAAGACTCCCCAAATCTTACCGCGGCCAAGACCATCCAAGAGCTTCTTTGCCCCTTCTATTTCCATTTCAGCGAGTGTCTTCAAATGTACACAAGCGCCAGCACCAATCATTTGTTTTCTACACTTTTTAGACTGCACAAGCGAGGCCAGTATCGAAACAGGGTATTTCTTATCTAAATTCTGAATCGAAGGATCTAATAGCTGAACCGTGTAGACTATCCCTCTTTCATCTTTTCTAAACGTTTTTCTGTTACCTGCATATAATAAAAGATGTGACAACGCCTTTGCTGCTGCTTCTTTCTCAACTACAGCTTTACCATCTAACATATTAATCAGTGGAACAATTACTTCACATTCGCCCATTTCCTTTCGGGTTTTTGTGTTGAAACCAAGCTCGTAAATAGCTTCTGCAGTTGCAATTCTCACACCCAAAACCCCACAATTCAAAAATACCATGAGTCTGGAAACAAACCCATCAGAAACTAGCACTTCTGCAATTGCTTGGTTAGAAGCCAAATTCCTTAATAAATCGACAGCAACTTCAAGACTTCTTACAGGAGGACCTGAATCCCAGAAATTTCTCAAACACTCAACGCCTCCTTCTTTTACAATTAAAAGCTTCAAATTTTCATCATCTTTGGCCAAGTTACATAAACACCCAATTGCGTTCTCTTGGGCTAAAGCAGTCCCAGAAGCAGCAAGCCCAATAAGAACAAAAACAGCGTTCTCCTCTATAAAATTCTCTCTAATTTCTTCAAACACCGCAAGATTTCTCAAAACTCCGGCCGCAAAAGCCTGTGAACCAGGCGTGCCTCCCTGGCAAATTTCTAAGAGCGAAGAAATTCCACCTCTAGACCCAATTGCCCTTGCGTTTTCCTTCGAAAAGCTCAAAGCTTGAAGGGCAACGCAAGCTTTTTCCTTCGCGAACCCACTTCCTGATTCCAGAACCCGAAGCAAATGATTCAAAAGCAATAAACCCTCAGCAATTAACACATGCTTACTACTATCCACCATTGAAACCCTAGAAATTGCCGCTACGGTCTTCTCCTTCATCTCCAGAGAGCTCGAATCGAGCAAGCGAACGAGCACAGGGACAACACCCTGTGCTACGGCTATCATTACATTCTTATCATCTTCTTGGAGCAATCCGAGCAGCGAGTCCATGGCCGAATTTTTTGACTCACTGCTACCAATCTGCAATCGAGTGATCAAATTCCTCGACTCGACCCGCACTGCCTCCCTCTTCGAAGATGAACCAACTGAAGTGGCACCGTCTTGAAGAACCCCACTTTTGATCAAAATCTCACTGTCCTTCACATGCCGATCCAACTTAGCTAAAATCGAATCGACATCGCTCTGAGTGCGGAGCTTACCTTCGGTGAAATTAGGCGTACGACATTTTCTAGCCAATAATACGGCGTCATTTAAAGAATTGGAAATGGAATGAAGGAGGTCAAGGCATAAAGGATTGGAGGTGGAAGCCGGAAAGTCAGCGAAATCGGTGAGTTGCGTTTGGAGATCGGCAAGCTTAGCTCTAATAAGAGCCCATTTACCTTTAAAGGTCTGAACATGAGGGATTTCGTCCAGAAGAGATTGTAGAAGCTGGTCGTTGGCATTGATAGGATCGTTTTCTGGTACTTTCATGGCGCTTTACCAGCTTTTGGGGGAGATTATTAGCAGAGAAACAAAAAGAAAAGGAAAAGAGGAAAAGAAACTAGGGTTTAGAGAGAGAGAGAGAGAGAGACAGAGAGAGAGAGAGGGAGGGAGGAGGAGGTGGCGATGAATGGGCAGTGCTGGGTAACGACGGAGCAAAGAGCCAAAGACCAAAGTAAGTGTGTGTACTAGTGGAAGAAGAAATAATTATGTAACTGTTGGAAACGATGAGGTTCAATATCAGACGCAGCATTCGAGCGTGCTTCTCAACCGCTACTGTACCGTCGTTACGTTCGTTTTTTTTCTGCAGTGGTGGATTGGTTAAAAACATCTCTTCCCGCCAGTTATATGGCTTCGGTTTGATTTGTTTATACAAACCAATCTAATAATAGCTTTAAACCCTTCACTCAAAAAATAATAATAATAATAATAATTGAAATAATAGCTTTAAACCCAATCAAATTATGAAAGATAATCAAAATAAATAAAGTATGAATCCAATTTATATTAAACGATCTAAAAATACTCATTGTCATAAAAATAAAATATTAAAACTTAATTTCACATTAATAAATTATTTTGAATAAAAAAAACATTTGTCAACTTATTAATACACACGATATAATTTTAGCATTAGAATTTAAGTTATTTCACATAATACATGATTTCTTCAAAAAAAAAAATTAATTAATCCAAATGCACATAAAGAATTATATTATATATATTATGGTTTGGTTGACTTTAAATGGTTTAATTTCAAAACTATTAATCAAATTGACATTTTGATTATTTTATATACTTTTCAAATCAAACTAAATCACTAATTTTTAAAATTAATATTTTTCATTAATTTGATTGGTTTATAATAGCTAATGAACACTTCTGATGTGATATGTATTCTTTAGTGTCATATCTTTTTGTACGATAAATAATTAGCAAAGCATTCATGTAAATCACAATGATTCAAATTAAATATAAGTTTATTTAATTATGTTAGATCTAGAAAATTTTGATAAAATTGGCAATATTATTTCTTATTTATTTTATATAATTTAAACTTTAAAATTTTTAATTATTTCTGTCAAAATATTCATATAATTCATCAAAATTTGAGTGAATAATTTACCAAAACGGAGTCAAAAAATTATTCAAATAAAATATAATATACACTAAACAAATAAATTTAAAAACAATTTTTTATACTGAGTTGACATTTTTTAAATTTAAATAATGAAACTTAAAAATAACAACTGGTATGGTCATGAAAATAACTTAATTGCTACACTAAGCCAAATTAAGTTTTTATGTATATTTGACTGGTCAAATTTCATTTACTTGAAGTTTGTTTTTTTCATTCTCTTATTAGTTTGTCACTGAATACTATGTACTACTGTGAAGACGAGGCGTAGTTGGCTCGTACAGTCGTGTTTTACACGCACAATCTACGCACTTGAAAATAGATACCGTAGTTAAAGAATCGGGAATTGGACCGAAAGTTGTCAGCGATCAGAAATGATAATCGGAGAGTCGAGAGTTAATAACAGTGTAGGGTCCACTCCTTTTCAATAATACGGAACCTTTATTAGTCCAGTGACAGGCAGGATAGCGAAAGTTCCAAGTCTGCGACTCGTCGTAGCAGATGGCTATAGATACGTATTTTCTTATTGGATTAAAGTCACAGCTCCACTCCAATCGTTGGATTGTTAATCCACTTATTTTGTGGGATCAAATTATACGGAGTCATTAGGCTGTGAGCGAAGAATTAGTCATAAGCACGTAACTCTAGCTATAGCTTCTTCCCGATCACCTAATTGGACACGCGTGAGCTGTTAGTGAGATTTTCTTTTTCCTGTTTAGGACGTAATTACCCTCGATAACCAAAAAGCAATTTATTCACGGCTGATATTTTTAGCGCCAAGAAAGTGAAAGCGCCAATACTAATTACCAACAGTAACAGCAGTTCATTTAAAAGGTTGATTTTTTTTTTTTTTAACACCCTTGTTTTCAAGTCAATTTGAACGGTATTCGAGTAAAATAAAAATTTTCAAAAAATGGTAATCTCAGATTTTAAACTTTTGACTTTCAAGATAAAATTGGATTAAAATTACACTACACTTCTATGAAAAATTTTATAAAAATCTTATTTATTTGTTAGCCAAATATATACATTTATCATGTACAATTTCTAAAAATAGTAATGATAGAATATAATTAATATTAGGTAGTGGGTAGCTTATAGGAGAAGAATCTTCTTTTTTTTTCCCTAAATGATGGAGTTTCTCTTTAATTGAAACTTATTCATTATCACCGTGACCATTCTCTTGCTATACACCAAACTATCAACATTATTATTATTGATCCGTTCAATTCAAATCAAAATTCTAATCCAATTATTTTTTTTAAATTATTATGAATTTAATTGAATTAAATTAATCGAATTAATTTTTATATTAGTCTCACTGACCATGTTATTTATCATCATTGGCGCCTAATATTTAGTTTTTTAATTCGTTTAATATAGTTATATTAAGTTTTAAGTGACTATAACCGATAACTAAAGAAATCCAAATTCAACTTTATCTGTTGAATTAAAAATTAATCTCTAATTTACTGAATTAACTAAATTAGCGAATTTAACCAAATTGGCCCAACATGCAAAGCCATAGTACAGCTTGCGTTTGATGTGTGGGTCAGTCACCTACTAGGTTAGAATATTCAGCGACTGAAACCTACTTAATTTGTTAATTATAGGACTTACAATCGATGGTTGACTCTCTCTTTCCCAATATTGCATTGATTTCATTCATGCCGTATATAGAATATCCAAATAATAAAAATACGTCCTTATTTATTTTTTTTAATTTTATTAATTAATATTTTCATATTTCTTTTCAATTTAGGATTAATCTCGTCTGTGATTCGTGCTTATAAATATTTTTTTACGAAAAAAATCATTAAATTTATAAAGATTATTTGCTAAAATTTATATATATCTTAACATTTAAATCTGTCTTTATAAATATTTTTATTTACATGTTATTAAATATAGAGAAATATAATAATTAAAATCAGATGACGGTAGTAGCACTAAAGGTGTAATTTCAACTTGAATTCAATATTTGAAAGGGTGAGATGAGTAGTTTGATAATATTCAACGAACTTTATATAGAAAAATAGTAGCATATATTAATTTATTCATTTCGAGAATGATATTGGTACGTAGGCAGATAGGCAATGAAAAAGTGCCATTTAGCAATAGGGAAAGTGTGTATGCGAAGTGAGAAGAGTCGTTGTCGTATTGCTTTAATGGCTTTGTAATGGTAAAGCGCGAGTAAGCTTGCGGTGGATGTTGGCCACAAATATCAGACAAAAAGGGGAAAAAGAATCTGCTTATTGTTTGTATATACGTATCTTAATCAAACACTGTTACGCGTACCGAAAAGCAAAATTAATTATTGTTAAGGAACTGTTATAATACCTATACATTACATGTTATGTTATAATAGAAATTAAAGAATTAAGGCACTGAACGAAGAAGAAACCCACTCCAAACCCAAGCCCAATCCAGAGTTTAGGGTAGTCTTTGGACCTTCATACTGTCTTACGGGTGCTCGATTGTAGGCCTAGACCCATATAGAGATTTTAGAATAAGAAATAATTCAATAAGTAGGTATGTAATGGAAAACTAATTGTAAAATTAGCAAGTTAATCCACTGAGAAGTTAGCTTCACGATAAACATGACCACTGAGTCTTGACAATGCTGAGAAGCCACGAATTGCGAAAGTGGAGGGCATCATGCTGGATTTGAGCGGTGTCCTTTTTATTCTAACGGATAGGAGAATCAAAAAAAAAAAAAGGCAAGGTGGAGAGTTATAGCTGCTTTTTAACTGAAGAAGCTTGGAATAATAAACCAATTCAATTTGCAAATTGCAATGCCATGTATATCAAGCGTTTTGACTTTTTTTTTTGAAAACAACTCATGATTTAGATGTGAACTAGCTAATTCCGTTTCCATTTCAAGTCAAATAGAATAATTAATCGATCAACATGCATGCATGCAAGTTGAATTCTCAGTTGAAATTTTCTTTTTCCTTTTCATTGATGTATACTACTTTTTATTGTGAACAGAATAATAAATAAAGTGATTGCTACAGATCAAAGAGACTGATCATCGTCACCCAATTCTTATCATCATAGTTCATTTCATCAACCTTAAAACCATCTTTTCTTTTTCTTCTTTCTTTTTCAAAAAAAAAAAAAAAAAAAAAAAAAGTTGATTGCTACAGATCAAATCGAGCACTGATCATCGGTCACCAATTTTATCATCATAGTTCATTTCATCAGACCTTAAAACCATCTTTTCTTTTTCTTTCTTTTCTTTTTCAAACAATAAAACACAAAAAAATATACATTTTATATAAGTAGATGCTTGATGCCAGCACCAGATATAGCACGCCGTCGGATTTTTATATGAACTTATAATTATTAATTAATTATTAAAGGCATGGAGTCCCTCCTCTTTTCAGTTGTCTGGTAATACAAGGATGCCACCAAATTGACCAAGGAAATGCCAGTAGACTCGATGAGAGTGTAAGATGGCGCTGTGCAATAGCAGATGGAAGGAAACTTCAAAGATCAGAAGGTGGGCCGGCTAAATCTATTGTTTGTCACTCTTATACATTTGTCACTCTCTCACAGATTGTTGCGTTGAATTGTGGTAAGTGCTCAAAATTGGCTAAAATCGTCATGATTAACAATCAGAAGGGAGTTTGCTTTATGTGAGTGCTGGAACATTTTGGCTGAGAGAATATGGCATACTTTTATTAGTAAATAACGATTTATAGCTCGCGTGTGTGAGTACAATATATTAGCCTCTACATATGCTATATCTAAAATTAAAACTGTGTGACAAGCTCCTTTGATGAGAAGGAACTATGAGTTAGAAATAAGCTAATACGCTCGTAATCTACACTATGCATATTGAATACAACATAGATTGATATTTCTGCTAAGATTAATAAAGCGTTGATGTATGTCTCTTAGTTAAGTAGTATTATAATTAGGGGCCTTACTACATTCATGCTATTTCTAAAAGTATTATAGAAGACAGTAGTGTGCTTTAATAAAATACTTTCTTCAGTCATGGTAGACTTGAGATGGGAGACAATTCTAACTCTACTTATTTTTTAGGTCTTATATATAATATTATGAGAGTTTGCTGGAAT